TTTTAATTATTTATACATTTAGAGTTTATGTTCTATAGTTTTCTGTTTATTTCCAGGCTGCATAGTATTATTGAATTTTTAAAATTAATATTGGATTTGTATTCAGAGACCCCATAAACAAACATATCGAAGCAATTTTTGAAAATATAACAAATTGGATACATAAGTTCTAAAAAAGTCGTTCGCCATTCTGAATTTTTAAAAATTGACATCAGATTCGAAATCAGCAAACCGAAATACCACTAATTACCAATTTTTAAGCAAATCCGAGCAATTTTTAAAAATATTGTCCGCCATATTATATCCGCAATTTGGAATTTCTTTTAATTGACATTGGATTCGTAATCAGCGACCCTAAAAGCGACCGAGTACAAGTTTTCAACAGCCTCCCTGGGACACGAAAAAGTGAACTTAACTTTTGTGACATTTTGAAAGAATCATAAAACATAAATGATTGTAGTTACTTTTTAAAAAAATGTTAAAGCTCAAGTATTCATTGAAGTCTCTTTTTTTTGGTTATAATAAATAAAAAGAATGTAAAAATATTTTTTTAAAAAATTGTTTTCTTTTTAAAAAAGAATTAATTTGCTAAAAACATAGGCATCATAGCGTCGAGCGTTCCAGCCTTACATGCTATTTCGGCTTCATAGAACAAAAATTTAGATAGTGTCACTAATGCTGGTTCTTTTTGTGTACCATTTTCATGTAAATATCTATTGTAATTGTATACCATTGCATAAGGTATTTTTTGTATAATTTCGTTAATAAGATCGGGACTATGCAGATACCCTGTGTGTTCTGCAGCTTCCAAGGCAGCTACACAGTTTCTTACTCTTGTTGCAAAATTCACCAGCTCTGCATTATTATTAAATATTTTTGGCAAACTCTTAACGTCTTCAATGATTCGTCTCGCAACCACATTAGGATTCCCAAATCGTAGTTCCAATAATTTCATAATTTGACTAGTGCCGCTCGTGGTCACCATCAGTGATGCAACCGCTTCCTTCGCTGGTCCCCTCAAACTTTCGTATAATCTCAAGAGATTCTCTTCCTCACTAAATCCTCCTCTTTTGGTTGTTTCGATAAAGGCTCTGTTGAAGCATGGCTACTCTAAAATGTCTCTTTTGAATATTGGTAGATTCTTCCCTATTGTGATTCGTTGTAGTATTCGTCGAGACATATCATCAGTATGCGGAATTTTCAATGTGTTTAATTCATCTTCATTTGTGGGAATCCGCGACGTAGAAGGGACAGGCTCACCTTTTTGTGGCTTCGTATATGACGTTTGAACTTCATTTGTAACATCAGAATCGTAATATTCGTTGTTTGCGTTATCTATCCAGCTTTGAATATCGGCTCTTTTTTGGATGTCATCTAACTTACGTTTACGGACACGATGACTGGATGAGGATTGAAATTCTCCAACATTATATTCAGTTTCGGCGATATCTGCGGCAAGTTTTTGGTTGATTAAATCCATTTTCAATTGAACCTTTTCCTCAACAAGTCTACTTTGAATAGCAAAACTTTCTTTTGCTGTCTTTATTTCCAACAATCTTCTTTTTTTCGACATTTTAGAACTACTCTCGAACATGGATATGTCTTCACGTGTGCTGCCAGTCCTTGACATATCTAGATCATTTCGATTATGAATATTGGTTTGTGGTTGACGATTATCCAAACGCCTTTGCTTGATACTCGTTGCGTCCATAGGTACAGTATCAGAATCACTGTCATCTCCGGTTATATTTGAAACATGTGTTGAATTTCCTGGACGGTCGGGTGCTCTTTTTCCACATGCCATTCTTCTTGATAAACTATAATTTATATTTTCATTTTCTATTGTAATCATTAAGGCAGGACAAGGTTAATAACGTTATCAACAATAAGTTACCCGGCGCCTCCACCATTTGTTATTCTAATACCGGGCTTGCCCTGAATTAATGATTGGGATTTTTCTTTATTAATTAGAGAGGATAGATAGGATTGTTAACAATTATATTTATTATATTATTTTTTATTTACAATTACAAAAATGGTTTTGCTTATCACTAAATACAATCTATTTGAGCATGGGAAAATAAATTATTTACAATTGTATTTATTTTATTATTTATGTTACAATGGTTTTACTTATTACTAAATACAATCTATTTGAACAGTCGGGGGCGCTAAATTATTTGTGAATTTTAGAGAAATCTTTAATCCACTGGTCAATCCACTAGTGGATTATTCATTAAATATTTTAAACATAAGTCAATCCATTACTTGGATTATTCCAATGTTAATTATTTTAATTAAACAATTATTTATTCAACAATATTTTAACATTAACGATTCAAAAAATTTGTCAATCCATTACAGGTTTATTCAAAATAATAATTTTCAGAAAACAATTGTCAATCCACTTCTGGATTATTCAGATTAATTATTTTAAAGAAAAAGTCAATCCACTTCTGGATTATTCAATTAATTATTAAAGATAACAAATGTCAATCCTCTACAGGATTTTTTATAATAATTGTTAATCCACTAAAGGATTATTTATTTAAATATTTGTGTACTTGCTTATGTGGTGATTGATCCGATAATCCGCACACCTCGCTGTTCTATTCACCTTGGATTCCTCTCTTCGTTCAATTACAAATACAATTTTTAATTTCCTTCCTCTTCGGTGGTCAATTAACTACTGTCCTTCAAATTTTCTCTTTTCCCTTTCTTCTGCGGTTTCTCCCCTCTCTTCCTTTTTCTTCCAAAATTTTCTTATTTCCATTTCTCCTCTCGAACACATTTGCCTTTCCTCTTTTACGACCTATTGTCTCGAAGGTGAACAATAGATTCCTTCTCCTTCTTGTTTGACCCTTATTCTCCAAACGCAAACAACCAACCAAAGTAAACAAATCGAATAATACAATTTCAAATACACAGCAGAATAATTTTAATAACTTTGAATTATAACATTAACGAACAATATTAAACTACCAATTTCAAATTAATTTTCTTTTTTTCTTTTCTTCTTTTTTTTAACTTAATTTTATTTTGTCCGCAACAGACCTGATTCTGAAGAATCACCAATATAAAGCTAAATCAATTATCGCCTTTTAAAACTAGATAATATACCTTTGATTTAATCGTTTGACCAAGCAAATTGGAGTTTAACTCTAATCACTGCAACTGCCCAGATAGCCAATCGTACTAATCACTATTTTTTAGTACAGAGTATTGGTATCGTACTCATATTGTACTTGTACGAAATAATAAAGTATGTACATACAAGTACGATACTAGTATAAAAATGGTATGTCGTACGATTGGAATTTTAAAATTGCCAAAGTTCTCCGTACTAGTATAATACTAGGTACAATACCAGTTCGACGTAATAATTGGGATTTTAGGTTATAAATTGCCAATGCTTCTCCGCCATTATCAGTACGATATACCAGTACAGTGCGAAGGTACATGGCTGGTACTGTACTAGTACGCTGGCTATCTGGGTGGTTTTATCAAAATTGTAACAACTGCACCTAATCTCCTCTACACTTTTGACAGAAAATTGTAATTTTTATTCAAATGCAACTTTCATTCATTTTAAATGTTCAAAATTAAATTCTTCGCCTTTCCACCAAAACGAATTTAAAATTTAATTTGTCTTTTTTTTAAATTACGAAATTATGACATTGGACTAACTTTTGATTTGACTGTCCGTCATATTCTTCCTTAATTTTTAGAAATAATTAAATTTCAGAATGTTTGAAATTTAAACTTTAAAAATTAAAATTTCTTTACACTGAGAAACCTTTGGGACTGTAGCGGGACAACGTATGTGACAGCAGCTCCACTATGGTTTTGGTGCGCTGCGGTAAAATCTTGGGCGCGTGACAGTCCAAAATGTTGGTGAGCAGCTCACCGAAGTAGTGGGGATGCCGTCTTTGGTTTGCAGCCGAACAACTTTTGGAGTGTCACGCGCCCAAAATTGTACCGCAGCAACCCAAAAGTATAGTCCTGTAGCGTTCCACCAAAATGGTCAGTAGCAGCCTATCGAAAGTCTGCTGCTGACCCAAAGGTCTCTCAGTGTAGAAAAATAAATAACAGATATTTAAATATTTTTGTGCAACACCTGTAAGGAAAGTAATACTTTGCAGGCCTGTAAAGTAGGCGCAAAACAGTACTTTGCTGCACTAGTGTGGCAAAGTGCATATTTTGCTGCACTAGTGCGGCAAAGTTCTTAAACTTTTGAGTTTTTTTGGTGATATACATACACGAAAAAAGTTTCGGCACGTCAGATGTACAGGTTGTGTCAAATTTTCTTCTACATTTATTTTGCACGCCATCTGTGCCAGTTTGGTGTATCTGACGTGCATTATGTACGTCTGATATCTCGAAATGGCACCTCAGACGTGCAAAATAAAATGTACTGCTGTTGACACTGTCCTCGGCGCATCTAATGTCCCGGAATTTTTTCCGTGTAGGTATTTGTTTTCTATTTGCAGAATACCTGTTTTTTACAGTAATATACGCTTAGAAAACCACGTATATTACGTGCGGTAACATACGTTTCAAACCCTGCTAACAGTACGTATGTTGGCGTCAACTAGCGTTTCCAAACAGCTTTTTTTACTAAAATCAAAAGGTGTTGCACAAAGTACTGTGTGCATTTCCGACGAGTGCAAAGTTCTCGTCGGAAAACAGCTTCTTTCTGTACTTGTTGCACAATATACTATTATTTGACTAAACTATTGAATTATTAATTTAATTTAGAAATCAGGGAAAGAGAAAATCAGAGAAATACTAAATGAAACGACTTTTCCGACTTTTTTGCGCATTAAAGCCGATCCGAGACCAGTTATTAATGCAGTATTGTCCTATTTACATTTTTTATTTTATTTTGAATTTGTAATCTATCTTTAACCTTTCTTTAGTTACCAAATTGAAATTTTTATTTTCCTAAATAAAGCTATAAACAATTTGTAATGTTTTATTCTTGTCAATTTAAATTTAAGGAAGACAATACGATGCTGAAATACGTGAACGCTATGAACCGTTCAATTTACGCCTTCGAGTTGACTGATCCACCAGACGGACATTCTACATCCACTTCAATTCCTGATGGCGGTGGAGATCGAGTTATTGACTCTGAATTCTGTCAAAATGGCACAACGAGTAATGAGGAAGTTGGAACGTGTTTAATATGTCTTGAAGAATGCGATGGAGAATTAAAAAAGCACAGTGAAAACAATTGTAATTTCATTATGTGCGATCCTTGTGTCGAGGTAAGATGTCATTCAATTCTTATAATATTTATTTTTAACCCTCGGGCGGGCAAGCTAAGAAAATTACTATTAATATCTTTGTATAATTTGTTTTCTTTTTATTATATTATGAATTTTAATGCATTAAAATACAAAAATGACGATTAAGATTTTAAATTTAACAAACAGCCAGATTTGACAAATACCCTTGGAAATACACACACCGTTCTGAGTGCAAGGTATGATTATTTGGTGTAGGCGCAAATTTCTTAAAAGAAAAACACTATTTTGTTATTTGCATATAGCACAATTTGTACATTTTGTCTATTCCACTAAGTGGTACTGTAGTCGCTATTGGGAACCGCAGAGCTGCGTAGGCCCTCTGGTGTCGACCCACTTGCGGTAGTTGTCTTTTCATTTCGTCTCTCTCTAACATATGTAAAAAAAAGAGATAAAATCCAAGATGTCGGACGCAAGTGGGTACAGGGGTGGGTCAGTTTCACATGATTTCGGATCCCAATAGTAAATTTTTTTCCGTGTACTTTCGCAATGTTTGTATGTTTATAACAATGCAGGGTTTACTGGACCCCGCTTGCATGTGGCATCATTTACAATTGGAATATGAAAACTGTTATAAAGTATTCGGATGAACTCATTCTTTCGTACGGATTCGGAGAAATTTGAAAAATAGATACTCCCGCTTGCCCGTCCAAGGGTTAAGAAATGGTATTTTTTTCCCTTATTAATGCCGCCAATCCATGCCCACAAATTTATTAAGTTTTAAATATTTTTCATCATTATCGTAGTATTCGATATTTTAATTTTTTTTCAAGTATTTTTCTTTTTACATTTTTAAAATTATTTTTGTATTTTATGTTACAACTTTAATATAAGAGGGATTACATATTAAATTTCTGTTGGAGAGGCTTTTGCAATTCATGCCAATTTTTATCCATTCAAATAAACTAAATGAAAATAAAGTCAAAGAGATGGAAAACGTGCAAAATAACATGATCAAGTATTTAAAAGACAGAAAATTAACAATTGGTATATATTATGTTGTTTATGAAATAAAATAGAATAATTGTTACCCGATGATGAAAGTGGCAGCGTCAATCTAGCAGAAGGGGTGTTTTTGTTTACAAGGCATTAATTTGTCTCTTGTAACCACCTCGGGAAGGTCTGAGACGAGGTCCTCGAACGTCCTAGCAGGACGACACTTTAAAAGTGTGCGCGAGAACCAGAAACAGCTTGACTCCAGTCCTTAGCCGCGGATGCCTGCTTTGCGGGCGGAGGTGACTGGTTGTTAAGATGGAAACTCGTGTGACCCGCTTTTTCAGTTCAATCTGCAAGCTTGACTTTTCTAAAAAAAAAAAGTCCAGAACTCAATTCAGACTAATCTGACGCTGCCTGTTGCTGAGGGTTGACTGTGGTGAAAAAAATATAAATTGAATCGTTGGGCATTGATCTAATATCTAATATAGTTTGTTTCACAAATTCATTTCGTAAATTATAAAGTTAATTTGTTTCCTTGTTTAAAATCATGTTGATTTGCAAAAGTTTGCTTTGTAATTGGTAATTTTGATTTTTGAGACATGAATCGACTTTATATTTTTGTTTGGCGATAACGTCGTAACGTCCGTCGACGGTCAGACATTTGTGAAATAAGCTAGAAGCAAAAACTGAGAGAGCAGTACGTATTACCCAACAGAACTACTTCAAGAGCCAAGCGACAAACAATTGTCCAGTGTGTTCGACGAGTGTAACAGCCGCGTCGTTCACCAAGATTGACCAGACTGGCCGACCAAGGCCTGCAATTCGGATATTGAACGTACCACTGGTGCTGAGATACGACACCAACGAGGCCACCAACAATCGGAGGGACATGAAACTCTTCAGCTATCCTCATTTAGTTCGGCTGCCTTCTCGAGTCAATGCTGCCGATTTGTACGAAGTTGTCAGGCGAGTTGTACCGCAGGAAGGGAAATACACAATACATTTTGTGGATGGACAGGTAATTGGATAATTTATTTCATAAATATTCTTCTTGCCCAGAGAATTTATATTTATATTTAAACAGTATTTTCGCGCTTTGCAAACAATTCATTATTTACACTTAGGTATCTAAGGAATATTACATTGACTTAAACTAAAAAAAAATAAAAACAAAAGATCTAAAATTCAAGTATCACACGAATTCAAAATTACTCGATAAATACATAAAAATTGTGACTCTACACGGAGAGAAAAAACAAGGCTTTCCCCCTTGAAAAAATATACATTTAACGCGTGAAAATTATCACAGTAAAAGTGCAGGACGCTCACGGGTTTTCCCGGTGAGATTCTTGCAACGAGCTTAGGCCAATAAGGGCTAAGGCGTGGCCTAACCGCCAAACGCAAGAAATTCATCGGGAAACCCGGTGAAACTGCTACCTGAAAAAGGCATGAATTGAAGTCACGGGGAAAAGCCTTGTTTTTTTTCTCCGTGTAGCATTTAACATCGAAATGAATTAGTATTATTAATAATTTTTTTAATATTATAAAGATTATTCTAGGACCAAAAATTCAACCATTCTAAGGCGGGACGACAGGGAGAAAACCGGGAAATAGCCGGGACGGAAATTTTAATCGGGAAAAAACCGGGACTGAAATTTTACAAATGGAAATTTTTTTGAAATTCGCACCTCTATTGATCGGAATAATGAATAAACAAAATAAATAATAAATTTTATTAAATGTTATATTAAATGCAAAGTTTTCCACCTTTAGTAATTGTAAATACTCTCTAAATCTGAATTAGTAGTTTTCTACTAATGAAATAGATCACATTCGTTTACCATTTTGAATTAGTAACAGTTTTTACTAATCTTTAGTAGTTTTTTTACTAATTGCTAGTAGAAAACTACTAATTCATCAATAAGTCGAATTTTTTAATATTTAAAATTAGTAAATTAGTTTTCTACTAGCAAATAGTAGATTTTTACTAAAAATTAGTCAAAACTGTTACTAATTCAATTGGTTAACGAATCCGCACTATTTCGTTAGTAGAAAACTACTAATTCAGATTAACCCATTAACGCCCAACTCGTGAAAATTCTTTGGTCATTTTCAAGCTACGTAATTATAAATAAAACGGTTGACAATTTAAACCAGAGGTACATTTTCTAAAGGTTTTGGATGTGCTCTTTCCGATTCCGGTGTCAAAAATAAATTTCGTCCAAACCAAAATTAAATATGGCGGTTTTAATGTCAAAAAACACAAAAAAAAAATTCATTTTTTCAAGTTTGACATTTTTTTTCACCTTGAAAAAGTATAAGAATAAAATTCTATTTTCAACCATCGGTGCATAAAAATTATACACTTTCAAGAACCGTAAAGTAGAATTAAAAATTTCAAGATGGCGGACCAATATGGCATCAAATCTAAAGTAAAATTTAAAAATTTTGGGCAATATTGGTCAAATTGCCCAAAAGTCAATGGATTCGCCTGAATTTTGTTACTCGGGGGTTTTTGGGGTCGCTGATTACGAATATAAACTTCATTTTCAAAAATTCAAAATGGCGGATCCAACATGGCGGACGAGTTTTACAAAATTTCATCGAATTCACTTGAAACTTGTCACTCGGGGGTTTTTGGGGTCGCTGATTACGAATCTGATGTTACTTTTTCAAAATTCAAAATGGCGGATCCAATATGGCGGACTTATTTTTTAAAACTGATCAAATTCACTTAAAACTTGTTACTCGGGGGTTTTTGGGGTCGCTGATTACGAATATAAACTTCATTTTCAAAAATTCAAAATGGCGGATCCAATATGGCGGACGAGTTGTACAAAATTTCATCGAATTCACTTGAAACTTGTCACTCGGGGGTTTTTGGGGTCGCTGATTACGAATATGAACTTCATTTTCAAAAATTCAAAATGGCGGATGCAATATGGCGGACTTATTTTTTAAATCTGATCAAATTCACTTGAAACTTGTTACTCGGGGGTTTTTGGGGTATTCTATTTCACGCGTGTATGACTTTTTAGCACGTTTTGCTTTTGGCGGCATTTCTAAAAACCCAACCGTTAAAAATCAATAACTGAATGCAACAACTATACACAAAAATGACAATATCGTGCTGTATGAAAAAACTGCCTCTCTTTAGGATAAAACAAAAAAATAAATAATTTATGCCATTATAAAGGGCCAGAGAAACATAACGTATGTAAAAAATAATATTCCTATTATACTTCAGATGCAACCGTGGACCACCAATAGCAATTGCAGAATGTGCATATATGTATCGCCTACTATATATAAACTTGCTTTCTTTCTAATTACACTGAAAAAAATGATATTGTCGATTTTGTCATACGAGTATAGTAAGGTATTATAGATGAAAGAGCAATAGTTTCAAGTGAATTCGATGAAATTTTGTACAACTCGTCCGCCATATTGGATCCGCCATTTTGAATTTTTGAAAATGAAGTTTATATTCGTAATCAGCGACCCCAAAAACCCCCGAGTAACAAAATTCAGGCGAATCCATTGACTTTTGGGCAATTTGACCAATATTGCCCAAAATTTTTAAATTTTACTTTAGATTTGACGCCATATTGGTCCGCCATCTTGAAATTTTTAATTCTACTTTACGGTTCTTGAAAGTGTATAATTTTTATGCACCGATGGTTGAAAATAGAATTTTATTCTTATACTTTTTCAAGGTGAAAAAAAATGTCAAACTTGAAAAAATGAATTTTTTTTGTGTTTTTTGACATTAAAACCGCCATATTTAATTTTGGTTTGGACGAAATTTATTTTTGACACCGGAATCGGAAAGAGCACATCCAAAACCTTCAGAAAATGTACCTCTGGTTTAAATTGTCAACCGTTTTATTTATAATTACGTAGCTTGAAAATGACCAAAGAATTTTCACGAGTTCGGCGTTAATGGGTTAAGAAAGTACGTATTAATAGATAAAGTAATATAAACTATTACATTGTTATATAATTAAAGTTCGCTTCAAAAAACTTTATTGTATTCGATTTTATTTAAATACGTCAGATTCTAAATAAATTTGATGAAAATTTCATCAAATCTGAATCAGTGTAATTCCACTGAAAATCAGTGAAAATTGACTGAGAATCAAAAACTATTGTCACAATTTGAATTTATGGAATTTCACTGAAAATCAGTTAAAAATAACTAAAATATGAGTAATTTTTTATTGATTTGCCAATTTAAAAATTACTAGAAATTTCTGTTTCCAGCATTTGAGAACATCAGTTATTTTTTAATTTTCCAATCAGTGAAAAATGACAAATATTACAATTATTTTTAAACTGGTCTTAAATGAAATTTAACTTATTGAAATCGCGAAAATAGAGTCACTGAAAATCAGTCAAATTTCACTGATTCAGTTTTAAAGAGTTGTGTTTTTTAATCAATTTATATAATTTACAATAAATTTTATGTAATAATACATATATTACTTATGGAAATGATGTTCTGCAAAAAGTAAAATTGTGATTTAAAACCGGGAGAAACAGCTAATCTTCAGCTGGAGAACCGGGAAAAAACCGGGAGACGAAAAGCGTGAAGATAGTGGCCACCCTGAACCTGATATTTACAACTTTTTTACGATGTGTTATTATTTATAAAAGTTTTTTTACATTTGGGACACTAAAAACTACTTTATTCTTCTTATTGAAAATTTACACTACTTTAAATTCGCTAATAATTAAAATAAAAAAATTATTTTCAACAATTATAATGAAATTCTAAGAAATAATTTTAAAAAATTCTAATATAATTCTTTGAAACAATTTGATTTAAGACGTACCTACTTGCGTTTGCGAAGGCAAAAAATAGGTCCTACTTTAATGCTTCTTTTTCACAGTCATTTTATTTAAAATATTAAAAACAATTTTTGCACCTTAAAGTACAATATAAAAACGATTCATAGAGGGCGCCAAAAATGTCGATCTCAAATTTGTAAGAGTTTGCGGTGCCCCCCATAGAGCCGCTCCTGACAGTCTAAAATAAAAAAAACAAAATTTATTCTTTAGTATACATTAATACCTAGTGGACTAATGTGATGAAATTAAAAAAATTTTAAAAATCGAAAATGGCGTCCTTTTGAAGTAAAAAATTTAAAATATCAAAATCATCATTTCTTAAAAATTGACTTTAAAAGGACGCTATTTTCGTTTTTTTACTTTTTTTTAATTTCATCACATTAGTCCACTAGATATTAATGTATACTTAAGAATAAATTTTGTTTTTTTTATTTTAGACTGTCAGGAGCGGCTCTATGGGGGGCACCGCAAACTCTTACAAATTTGAGATCGACATTTTTGGCGCCCTCTACGAATCGTAAATAACGGTTAAAAAAAGGAACAATTTTTCTTTTTGTAGTTTTTATATTGTACTTTAAGGTGCAAAAATTGTTTTTAATATTTTAAATAAAATGACTGTGAAAAAGAAGCATTAAAGTGGGACCTATTTTTTGCCTTCGCAAACGCAAGTACGCCTTAATGAAATTCTTGGCTTAAGGGGAGATTACCATTCTCAATGGTGAAAAAGGCATAAAGTTGGGGGATTTTTTTTTCATATAGGGTAAACCAGACAGTAGTCGGACACTTAAGAAAAACTTTTTAATGTATACTGTTTAAAAATTACAATTAAAATTTATTTCATATGTAATTGTTCATAATGTTCCTACAAAACTAGTATACTAATCATGTTTACAAAAAAAAATTTCTTATTCGTTAAAAAAATGTAAGCATCCGACAGTAGTCGGCCACCTGAAGCAATCTTTTTAATTAACACTGTTTTAAAAGTGCAATTCATATTTTTTTCGAATTCTTTTATGTGATGTTGCTCCTTACGATCACACCAAACTACTAAACCAATCATGTTTACGAAAAAAATTTTTTTATTCGTTAAAAAAATTAGTAAATAAACAAGTAAGAATCCGACAGTAATCGGCCACTTAAAAAAGCTTTCAAAAACCGTCCAAAAATTTTTTTTTTCTATTACAAAAGTTTAGATTTGTTTATGATCATCTTAGAAATGATTAGCAACAAACAAAATATTTTTATCTCATACGGTTTTATATCTATTCAAAATTGAAAAGTGGCTGACTACTGTCTGGTTTACCCTACGGAAATATTTTTCGATTTGCGGTTTTTTTACTTAAATAGTACATAATTATATAAACTTTTTACATATTTATATTAAAAATAAAATTAAAAATGGCGTCTGTAGTTTAACTTATAGAAAACCCTGCGTGCTGTATTTTTTGCGCCGTACGTTCCACAGCCTCGCCAGGTTATCGGAATAAAAAATTCTTGATAAATTTATTAAACTAGGATAAATTTGGAGGGCCTTATATCGTTTTGACATATTTCGAAAAATAGACATTTAGAGGGGCATAAAATAAACAATATTTTTTTGGTTAAAATGGGTTAGAAAAAAAGTGTCGGGTAGCCCGGAACTCTGCAGGAATTGTTAATTAAACACTAAAAAAGTACTGACAAAGTAATTTATTAAATCGCTTAACATAATGTAGATTATTAGCAGTTTAAAAATCATAACTTAGCAATAAAGAACACATTTTTACCTTTGCAAAACGAAAGTTTTTAGTTTCTCTTTTTGTTTAGATTTAATTTCTACCTGTTTTACCTGAATTTATAAATCGACTAAAATGAGTTTTCTTAGATGTCAAATTAAATTTTTTAATAACTACTATTTTTACTACTTCTTTTCAGTCTTAAGGGGACATTCCAGTTCAAAACAGGCAAAAAGAAGGATTTTTAATATATATTATTAAAATAACTGTGACATTTATTTAAGAAATTTCTTTAACATGTAATACAGTGAGTTCTCGCGAGTCGTTCAATTCTCGAAAATTTTCAAGATCATAAAACTCACGAGTCGTTCAACGCATAAGCCACGCCTTCAAGGCGATTTCAGGGATGTGTGAAACATATTTATCGCCCCGAAAGACACAATATTCAATGGCTTTGGTCCGTTTAAATTACACAGCACTGAGCACCGGCGCGCGCATACCAGAAATTGAACAACTCGTGAATCGGACACTGATCAGCTGTTGAACGACTGACGAGTTTGAACGACTCGCGAGAACTCACTGTAAATAATTTATTAAAGAATTTGTAAAAAAAATTTTTTTTATTTTTATTTCAAAATGGCGGCGATATACGTCATTTTCGAAAATGCCCATTTTTAGTGGTAAGATCGATTCTAAACTTTCTATAACAGATAAAACCAAAAACGAAGTGACATTCTCTTCGTTAGATATTTATTTAGGTGTGGAACCTCAAAAAAGTGAAATTTTCTTCCCCCCCTTTTTTTAGAGTACTTTTTCCCCAAAATATGCAAAAAAAAGGTGTTTATATTCAGAATTTCTCTTATATAAAAATGGATTTGGAAATTTTCCAGTTTTTGAGGTTCCACTTATAGGCATGATGACGCTGAATCAAAAGCCGTTCGATTTTTTAAAATCGCTTCAGAAGAACTCGAGATATCACTCTTACCAGATCAAAAAAAGACATTTTGAGAAAAACGCATTTAAAGTTTTTGTTCATAAGTTTCGAAATTTTTTTTAAAAAATCATCGGATTTGCTTAAAAATCGTTACTTGGGGGTTTTTGAGGTTGTTAATTACGAATATGGAATCAGATTTTTAAAATTCAAAATGGCGGATCCAATATGGCGGACATTTTTTTTCAAAATCATTGAATTTGCTTGAAAATCGTTACGGGGGGGTTTTTGGGGTCGCTGATTACGAATATGACATAATTTTTTCAAAATTAAAAATGGCGAATGCAATATGGTGGACGAAAAAAAAATTAAAATAAAAAAATGTTCTTTTTCGCCATATTGGATCCGCCATTTTGAATTTTGAAAATTTGATATCTAATTTGTGATCAGCAACACCAAATACATTTTTGTTTGTCTTTTTTAAAAAATGCAAATGAGAAAACATTTAAATCATTCGATTGCTTATCCGCATACAAAAACATCTTTGACATGGCGAAGAATAAGGATGTATAACTTTTGTTTTACTTCGAATTTTGCAATAATATTTTAGGAGAGTATTCTTGACACTATAAGAAATCCGAATATAAAAACAAAAAGAAATCGATTTTTTGACATTTTGAACTGGAATGTCCCCTTAAATAAAGCTTCTTTTTGCTACTTTTTTAAAATGAATTATTGAGTGCGAATCCTACTGAGATATCAATCACTAGCGCAATAGAATCTAAAAATATAAAAATAGACTCTCTGTCTCAGGGCTGACAGTTCGCCTTAAAAAGGCGAGAATCTAGTCTTTAGGAGCTGCTGCTGACCCTTCGGGAGTAGATTCTCGCCTTTACAGAGAGCAGACTCACAAAAATTTTCTCAGTGTAATGTATTTTGTTTTGTTATCTAGGGTCACCATTGCTCAAGGTGTATCTATACCAAACACTGTACTGGTTGCGGAGTACCTGAAACAGGCACAGTTAGTTTACAAAATGGCGACACATTAGCTGTGCGTTACACAGAAAACATTCCGAAATTCGCATCGCCGATAGATCATATTAGTGTCACAAAACAGCGACCACCCCATCCGCTTTCTCTTTACGACTGTTTGCAAGCATTTAGCCAAAGGTGAGTTTTACTTTCGAATATTGTAATAATAAATTGAATAATTCAACAATCAAATTTGACATCTGAGATGGCATGTTCCACTTGACTTGAAATGTAAACAGTAAAATGTAGATAAAATCAGAACGTTCAAAGGAACATTTTTCTTTTCTTTGAAAATTTGTTGTACCTTGGAATCACATTGTGAAACTTTTAACAAGGATAATTTTCAGAAATTCATTTTTTATTTTTTAGTGAAACTTTGGATGAGCATAATCCGTGGTTTTGTCCAAAATGCGAAGTCAACCAGTGTGCTACAAAAAGTCTCACCGTCCATCGATATCCTAAGTTTCTTATTGTATATCTAAAAAGGTAATATACTTTTTTTGTGTAACCTTAAATTTTCAGATTATTTCATATATATATGGGACATTCCACGTCAACACGGACAGAGCTCTAAACAAAAATTGCTTTGATGGATTTAAACGTTCTAGGGCTTAAAAGATTTCTACGTTCATGTACTTTAAGATGCCGATGGGCGTTTTTTGCAAAATTCCATTTTCGATGCCAATAGAACTGTCAAAAGTCAAAAGGTCCAAAAATCTCAAAATACTTTTATGAATTAAAAGCAAAAAACGAGGTAAATTATTCTGTAACTCATTCTTTATCAGTTTTTAGGGTTCCCGAATATAAATCTAAAGTTTTTTTTTAAAAATCCAAAATGGCGAATTCAATATGGCGGACAAAATTCAAATTTGATCGGATTCGATTAAAACTTGTTACTCGGGGGTTTTTAGGGTCGCTGATTACGAATCTGAAGTCACTTTTTAAAAATTCAAAATGGCGGATCCAATATGGCGGAAAAAATTTTCAAATTTGATCCGATTCCCTTAAAACGTGTTACTCGGGGGCTTTTGGGGTTGCAGATTATGAATATGAAGTTACTTTGTGTTTGAGACTTCAAATTCATAATTAGATACGCTAAAAACCACCGAGTAACACTTTTTAATTAAATCTGATCAAATTAAAAAATTTGATCCGACATTTTTTGAATTTCTACAAAGTAACTTCATATTCATAATCTGCGACCCCAAAAGCCCCCGAGTAACACGTTTTAAGGGAATCGGATCAAATTTAAAAATTTTTTCCGCCATATTGGATCCGCCATTTTGAATTTTTAAAAAGTGACTTCAGATTCGTAATCAGCGACCCTAAAAACCCCCGAGTAACAAGTTTTAATCGAATCTGATCAAATTTGAATTTTGTCCGCCATATTGAATTCGCCATTTTGGATTTTTAAAAAAAAACTTTAGATTTATATTCGGGAACCCTAAAAACTGATAAAGAATGAGTTACAGAATAATTTACCTCGTTTTTTGCTTTTAATTCATAAAAGTATTTTGAGATTTTTGGACCTTTTGACTTTTGACAGTTCTATTGGCATCGAAAATGGAATTTTGTAAAAAACGCCCATCGGCATCTTAAAGTACATGAACGTAGAAATCTTTTAAGCCCTAGAACGTTTAAATCCATCAAAGCAATTTTTGTTTAGAGCTCTGTCCGTGTTGACGTGGAATGTCCCATATATATATATATATATATATATATATATATAGTACGAAAACCTACCACGTCAGTCATGTCCCATGAGTGGGAGTGAGACAGACTTATGCGATTCCCATACTTTCCTATGACTGACGGATAGCTTTTCTTACTGTATGTACGGAAAGAACTTTTATTTAATTTAACAAACAGATTACTAAACTAATTTTAAATAAAGAAAAATTAGGTTATTGCTTTTTATGAAGAAATGAAATAACAATTTTTCTTTTAGGTATAATTGAAATTCTTAAAAAAATTTGATGAAAAATATTTTCTTTTCTTGCAGATTCGTATTCCACGAATGTATTAGTATGAAATTAGATGACAAGGTTACGTTTCCTCTTGTTGGGCTTAGTGTAGGAAAACATCTGTATGACTTATACGCCTGTGTTTGTCATTTCGGAGGTATGGTATAATTTTAGTTTACTTATTTTTACGATTATCAGCACCCACTCAATTTATCAAAATTTTATGTTGGTTTTTAAAAAAATATATTTAACTTTAAAATTTAATTTCCAAAATTAAGTGGGTGCCAGTTTCAGCCTCATTTTTATAAACTTGTCTTACAGTGATAGATCTTTATTATTTAAATTACCAATTTCTAATATAAGTAATTCGACCCTCTGCCTACGCTGACTTATCCCCAATCTAGTATTTCTGAATAGAATTCCCTATAGCTCCCACTAAGCAATCGAAATGTCGTTTTTTGTCGACAACGGTAAACTGAGTAAGAAGAAGGTTAACTCGTTACCAAAATTATTAAAATTGCTTTTATTCGAAATATATTAATTGAAGAGTTAAATTTAATTCTAAATGGTCACACTTTAATAAAATTAAAATGAGTTCTCGCGAGTCCATTCTTCTTGCGAAGAATTACACACTGGGATTTCAATCGTACGGCCCTGTTTGTGTATTAAAATTTTTGAAAATATAAACAATAATAACTAATTGTATACTTAATAAGTGAATTTTTGAAATTTTGGTTATGAAATTATTCAAAAATTTATATTTGAAAATAAAAAATTTTGTGATTTGCATAATAATAGGTTTGATTTCATTTTGGAGATTTTTGAATACAGGAAAATTTAAACGTAATTAACCACTTCACTGGCAGGGCGTTCCAAATGGCGTTCCACGCGCCGAGGCCCAGACTGGCAAAAACACCGACATGGCGTTCCTAATAAAACTTTATTTTTAAAGTGTGTACAACACTTATAACTACTACAAAGCAATATTTCTATAGTTTAGACAACAGGGAACCATTTTCAATACTTATCAACAAATGGCGTTCCACTTTTTTTAATTTTTATGCAATATAGCTCGTATTTTTATTTAAAAAAAATATTTATATAAATATTATAATATAGGGTCATTTGGGGTAAGTGTAAACGGAATATCTATTCTTCACCAAAAACATTAGTTTTTTTTTGTTAAAAGGTAAAACGGACAGATTTCTTTTGCATGAACTTGTCACTAGAGTTCCCTAGAAAAATTTTATGAGGTACAAAAAAATATTGATGCACCTGAATCGCCTAAAACTGACTGTTTACATTTACCCCGAGATTTTGAAATTTTCCTAAAATTCGGGGTAAATGTAAACACCACTGTAGTTAAGCAAGGTTTGAGAAACAAGTTATTTCAAGTATACTACTCTGTTTTAAGGGATGGAAAAACTGAAAAAAAATTCTTCGTAGATGTATAGTAAATCAACCAGTTGACTGATAATGTATCATATAAAATAAACAACCAACCATTACAAAATTAGTAATGTAAAAACTTGAATAACTTGAACAAATTTTAATAGATTTTCATTCAACTTGGTAAAAAGAAGTTTTTTTTATTTTGCTGAATAAGAATCTAAAATCGAATTTTTAAATTTCAAAATGGTGGATCCAATATGGCGGTCAAACATAAAATATTGTTAAAAATTGATCAAATTTGCTTGAATCTGGCTACTCGGGGGTTTTTGAGGTCGCTGAATACGAATTTGAAGTCAAATTTTCAAAATAGCGGATGAACCTAAAAATATTTTTAAAAATTAATCAAATTTTCAAAAAAAAAAATTTTTTTTTCATCAAATTTTTTTTTTCAAAAAGGACCTAATTTCCTTTTCTATGTAATTTTACATTGCCAAATTAATGAAATTGTGAAATAGAAGCAAATTTATTCAATTATTTTCTTTTAAAATGTAGTTCAAGTTCTGTTTACATTTACCCCGAGTTTTCGAATTCTCGAGGTAAATGTAAACACTTAATTATTTATTAACTAAATTGACGAAAATCAAAAATCAAAGTCAATTTTTGTTAGGGCATTAATAAGGAAGAATTACATATTTTTTTTTTATTTTTAAATTTATTTTTATGCAAATGCGAAACAAAATACTGAAACAGTAAAACTTTGATTTTCAATCTTTTTTGCATTAAAAAATAACTTACACTATGGCATTGCCAATTGTCAAAATAAAATATTGGCAATACTCAGAACATCTTGTAGGTGAGCTGAGGTAAAAATATTGACGTCGTACTTATTTTTTAATTTGTAAATTTAGCTGAAACATCTTCTGTTTACATTTACCCCAAATGACCCTAATTGTAAAAAAATTATATTATAATTTTAAATAATAGTACCTAATATTAAATTTGTAAAAAAAACAATTTAAGTAATATTAAACAATAGTTATTATTATTATATTATAATGTTGTGTATAAATATCTTTTTTTAATTAAAAATACGAGTTATAGGGTAAGTGCACCAATTGCCGAGGGTGTCCCATTTGTCGATGTTACCATGGTAGTAACCAAAAAATATTGTCTAAAATGTCTCACTTATTGTTTGTGGATATAATATTAATATATTTTTTTCACATTTATAACGCATAAGAAAATTAATATTTATCACTTTTTTCCATTTACAATGTGCTACAATGTTTAAATAAAATCCAAAGTTTATTTACTCGACAACAGGAACCATCCTCGACAATTGGTACGTTTACCTTATTGCATAAAAAATAAAAAATAAATGGAACGCCATTTGTTGAAAAGTATTGAAAATGGACGATTTTAACGTTCGGAAAGACATTAAAAATCTCAAAAACTGAAATTTTTATTGTGATAATCTTGTTCCCTGTTGTCTAAACAATAGAAATATTGGTTTGTAGTAGTTATAAGTGTTGTGCACACTTTAAAAATAAAGTTTTATCAGGAACGCCATTTCGATGTTTATGCCAGTCTGGGCCTCGGCGCGTGGAACGCCATTTGGAACGCCCTGCCAGTAAAGTGGTTAATGTTGAGTTTTTTTGACCTTAACTTCAACGCACAATATTAAAATTAAATTGATTCCATTGATATAAGTGATTGGCAAAACATTTTGTGAAAATAGTGGAGGTGGTCCGAAACCGATCCCCATATTTTTACATTGTAATTGTTTATTCTCTTCTTTCCAGTAAGAAATAGAAGGTCTAACCGACGTCTAAGAAGTTGAGAAGAGATCTAGGTCTAGATTTGGTCTAGAAATGTTAAATATAGATGTCAAAGTTGTTTGACTTGAAAGATATTTGTACTTGTCATTCAGTAGCTTAGTGTAATTTTACACGCATTTTATAAAATTTAATATTTTCTTTTTTCAAGTAAGCGAAACAAAGAAAATTGTTGGATCAGTACTGATTACGCTATATTGACACTGTTGGGAAGCAAGTAAATGTAGGATATTGCGTCTAATGGTAACTTTTACAAATGTCAGAAATTGTTGCAGGAAATAATCTAATAGTGTACTAGCGCCAGTCTAACAGACGTATTTGCAGTTACTTAGATATGGAATAGATTGGCTAAATCGTCCATTGTACCTCTCATTTCTTGATGGTGCGCATCAACAAGAATTAAGTTGTGTATTCGAAGTGCTAGACAGCGATTAGACATCTACTTAGCATCTAAGATGTCGAATAGACCACTCGTCTTTTGCGAATGTACAACCGAATTCTGCCCGGTAGACGTCTAATAGACAACAATTTCGATCTCGATTTAGATTCCACATAGATAATTAATTTAATTAATTTTTAATTCTCTTTTGGTTAAATATTTTACTCATTGTCAGTTGTAAAATGTTCTTGATAAGGCGATATGAATTAAGAAAAGGTGTTCTTTTCGACATCTTTGGTAGCATTTAAGTACGAGGACGAAAAAAAACTAATAACAAATTTCGTATATATTTTATTAGAAATAGGGCGAAAATTAAAACGGGCAAAACCATTGCTGCTATTACATTGGAAATTTAGACAAATTTTAACAATTTATATTTATTATCAATTCAAAAAAGGACTTCAAATTTATTTACATAAAGTAATAATATTAATTCAAGTTTAACTAAGTCAACGTAACTTATGGACATAAATAATCTCAGAGTAAAGTTAGGGGAAAGGTGTACGAGATGATCCCCTGGGGCAAGATGATCCTTTCGAATTTTTGAAAGCCTATTAGCGTCACCTTTGAGGCAAATTCGGTAATACGTTGCCAATGACATACATACCTATGAATCAGTCAAAGTGTCATGACAACACGCGTCATTAAAAAAATTCTATTGGAAAACATATAAATTTCATACTTTTTATCTGAGGAAAGCTTAACTTTGTACTTAGATAACTTTTGTTATAGCAGCTGAAATTCCATTTTTCTTGTACTCACAGCTTCAGTATATCTTCAATTAAGTGTTCTGATTGGTATTATCGAATAACAGAGCTCGTAGGTTGAGTTACAAACAAATTACAAAATAGTGGCATTTGGGGCAAGATGATCCCTCAATTTTCTCGCTTCTTATATGTTTTTATTATGAAAACTAACTTATCTAAAACAAAAAGTTGACATCTACATCTATTTTATTAATTTTCTTGTTGTAGACAATGCCTTGTAATTATAACATAGGAAAACGAATCGTGGTGAGTGGTCAAAAGCATTTATGGCCTTTATAAATTATTTTTAATACTGATACACTGTTATTTTTTCAATTTAGTCTCCTTTTCCAATAATTGTGGTAAAATAACCCTACGGATCATCTTGCTCAGATCAAAAATTAAATTAAATAGTAAAATATTAATTAGCTGCATATATTTCAAATCAGAATAGTTAGATAGATTAATTGTCTAGTAGTGCGCACAAAAAATACTCGAATATGTTGATTTTCCTTTCAATAATGGGTTTTTTCCCTTAGGGGGATCATCTCGTACACCTTTCCCTCACTAATGATTTATTTATTTACTTTTCTGTTCCTACAATGTAGTCAAAATAATTTAACAGTTCATTACAAACTGTTGATTATTATTTTAATTACTATCACAATTTGATATCTTGATTATTCTTGAGATCCCCCCCCCCCCCCAAATTGTGGGTCGGTTTCGAACCACCCATTTTGAGGAA